GGCGGCCCGATGGTGGCGGCTGCGAAGGGCCCGTTCGGGTTTGTGCCTCTCAGGCGAGTGTGCTCTTTTTTAAAAAATATATTCTTTGTTTGCTTTGCACTTTGAAAGCGCCCGGAATGTTAAGTCTGGTCTTTCCTGACAGCTTTGGAAGATGGCAGCGTGGTATTAAGGAAGTTTATTTTGAACTTAAGGTGTCTTATTTGGACCTGAAGCGAAGGGAGAAGGGAGAATACGGAAAGCTTAACAAAAGCTTATCCAGAATATCGGTTAGCTGAAGGTAAATAGTGCTAAACAAGCAGACAGGCTAAGAGCCTAAAAGCAGTCATCTTCCTTTCTTAAAGGCTTGTGCTTTGCTGCCGGAGTTCTGTGGTTTATCCTGCCTCCCAGTTTTTGCTCCCCCTCCACTATGGATTTTAATGTGGCATTCTCAGAATAATTGGGAGACTGATTTGTAAGGATGAACTCCTAGTTGCATACTCTTCTAGCCTAGGGAGAATGCCGGGTTTGAATGTAAAAAGGACAGGATGAAGAAAGAAAAAAGGGCAAAGCAGGATCTTTCATAGTCATCTCTACACTGTATGTAAGTGAAAGGTGTTGTCCTGTGCCGGAAGGTCGTCTTCGAGAAAGCTGGCTGAGATTGAAAATCTCTGAGGAATAGATAATTTCAATAGTAAATGCTACAAAAAAAAAAAAAGAGAGGTGACTTTAAGGTCAAAGCCAGATATTAGCTTTAGAAAGACTCAGTATCTTGGACAAATAAGATCTATATTTGCGTATGTTGACATGAAACGAGTAGCAAATCTCGTGCTTTGGGCTGCAAACTGATTACCCAAGGAAGGAACTTTTCCCGCAGCGTTGCGCAACTGACAGATTTGCTTTCCTCAGGAGAACTCTGTTCTCCGCTGTTACCTGGTGGGAGGGGAAGGAGAGGCAGGGAAGGAGAACAAGCTCTTGTGTTTGACCAGCAGACCGTGTGGCTCACAGGCCTGTAAGGACCCTGGTGCTGGGAAACTGAAGTGCTTTGGGGTCCTTTCTCTTCTTCGTGCAGCTTGTAAGAGGGACAGCCCTGAGCAGTTTAACTGCTGCCTGAAGGGGAGTAGCACCGTGTGATGCTTGGCACGGGTGCTGAGTTTTCATTCACTGATGTTGAGAGATGGTCTGGGAGCTTAGGTGGAGGTCGTATCAAGACTACTTGTGAAGTTGCCCCTTCCAGGGCTAGCCTTGACTTCCCACAGCTCCAGCTGGGGATGAACCCAAGCAGTCTAGAAGCACAGTCCTCCTAGAAGGTGGTCTGTGCTAGCTGGAGGAATGGGAGCATGGCTCAGCTGCACCTGGGCTGTGTAGGTGCAGATGGTCTCAGATCTTGTACAGACTTGCTGCATTCAGTGTTGGATGAGAATGGAGACGTTCAGGTATGGTGTAGGATAAATGTAACTCCAGCATCTCAAAGGTGTAATAGCTGGATCCCTATTACTCAGAGGATCTCCACACCATACTCTTGTTCTGGAGGTCAAATGTGGCCTCGGTTTCCATGGTGGTTAATGTATCCAGTAGCAGTTGGCATTTGTTTGTCAGTCAGGCATGTGTCATCATTGAGAGAACAGGAAAGGAAGACTTTTTATAGTGAAAGCTGTCTTGATGAAACCTTTAAAAGTTATTAGAAGGAAGAG